AAAGACGAATTGGTATCAGATTTCGAAACATTTATGCAGAAACTTCGCACTACCGATGGCGAATTCTACGCAAAGTCTTCATTTGTCGGCATCCGATCGACAATTCATAAGCACCTGAGATCTCCACCATTTGAGAAAAAATATAAATATTTTGCAGGTCATTGAGTTCCATAGCGCCAACAATATGTTTTCCTGGGAATGCTTAGGAACATTTAAAAACTTGCCCAGGACAATGCCCAACTCCACCAGCCCATATCAAATCCAGATCTGGCGAATATTACTAGTTATCTGTCAGTTGACATACCTGTAAATTTGCAAAGAAAAGTCTGGTTTGATTTAGTTTTGGGCTCTGGTCGCAGGGGAAATGATAATCAACGCGATTTGACCCTTATTGTTGAGATCTTCTCTACAACCAGAGCATTTCCTCAAGAACGATGGCGAATAGATGGACGATTGCTGACAATTGTAACACCTGAGTGGATTGGGGAGACACACCACGATTGGCATGTTCTCTATTCGCCCACATCCCATCTCGCCCACAGTTTTAAAACAACATATTGGTTAGGGATTACATAATGATCAACTTGTGTCATACCTATGACTGAAGAATGGACTCTCCTATTTTGAAGATGTGGGCGAATTGAGATGTGGGCAAATGAAGACAAAAGTAATTTACATTTTGTTTTATTTCTGTAACAAAGTTTCATAATGTTCAGTTCAACTTGATCAGGTGTCCAGCCGCGTCCAGAAACTGTAGCGGTGATCTTCTGCCAGTTTCCAGTTGCTGCTGCAGTCTGTGCAGGCGGCTGTCCAGGTTCTTGTAGAGTCTGGATCTTGGGCGGACAGCTGCTCCATGCTCAATCTGTCTTCTGGCCACTCTGTTTGTTGTCTCGAGCTTCTTCATTGTGATCACAAACTCGTAAATGTTCGGGTGGTGCTTCTGAACCAGCTTCTTAAATCCAAGGTGGAATCCTCCAAGTGATTGTTTGTTCTTGGCCCAGTGTTTCCATGTTGATTCCAAATGCGAGGTGGGAATCTTGCGTCGTAGTCAACCCATGTAGATGTGATGTAGTCGTTGAACTGGCCGATTCCGTCAACGTCGGGAGACTGGTTCAATACTTCCATCCAGGCATCTTGGATCTGATCCACTGGGAGGAGGGAGTGCTGCAGCACGTCGCACGTGGGTGTTGAAGGCACGGTTGTCCTTGTAGGTTTCACAAGGCCTTTCTCTGAAACCTGCCGCCAAACCGCCTGGGTGAAGTGGAAGTAGCATCCACGGACTTCTGCATCGGGGAAGACTCTCTCAGTGGCTCCAATAGCAGCAGCTTCGTAGTCAGTCTGTACAACGGAGGGAGAAAGTTCAACGCCGACAATAGCAAGCACAGAGTCCTTCAAGTAGTTAAACAATCTAATGTATGTATCACGAGACTTGCTTGGCAGCAGGGAGAAGGCGACTGGGAACATCTGTCCATCCACAAGGCAGTGCACAATGTAGACTTGTTGCCACAGGCTGGGACACACAAAAAAATGTTCCGTCCATGTAGATGGTTTCTGCATTGGCGAGGATGTCCAGCATCTCTGCGGTACTGAAGATCAGGATCCTGTCTTCATCTTCGCTGTCTACAACCAGGAACTGTTGTCCGTCTGTTGTCTCAGTCCAGGAACCTTAAAAACAAGCAAGTGTGTTAGACGTTGTTTTTGATGAATGAATGAATGAATGAAGTACACTGTCAAGAAATCAATTGAGCATTATGCAAATATCAGTAGATAAGTTAATACTTAAAAAGGTACCTGTGAGGTCTACATCAGCACGGGTACGTGGGACTGGTGGAAGAACCTTGGCACGCTGACGGTAGAGTCCAGACTTGATACTGTAGAAGGAAGCAACAGTAGCAGCAGCTTCTTCGTCTAGGTTCTGGGTCTCTTCATTGTAGATTTGCTGGACAGGCTTGATCTCTTCTTGAACGCGTTGTCTAAGTCTGGTGAGAAGTCGACTCTCTTCTTCATTCACTAGTGGAGGATGGTTGTGTTCTGATACTGAAGTGATGTGATCCCCAATGGTGCTGCATCTACCCTTGCACTTGTCGATGATACACTTCCAGTGAGTGGCTACCTGTCTGTCAACGTGCAGTCGATACTTGTGACCTCCGTGTAGAACCTGTTTTCCTCCTCTCTGCGACAACGTGAACTCTGCTTTCTGTAGGTTAGCCATTGCGACTGCCCATACTTTGCAAACTACCATACTTATAGGGTTGCAGTGAGTTACTAAATTGAAAGGAGAGAGAAGTTATTTCCGATTAGTAGATACATTAATTAATAATACTCTCTACTTTATTTAGACAAAATTGAAATATACTTTAAATCTTCTCTAAGTTTCCTTCTCCATCCTGTATAACTACCACAACACTGAAACAAGAGCACTTTGTCAAGTAACTCAGAGATGTATGTGATTTTAGACTAATCCCCCCCTTGTCAGGACACCCCATTATGAGAGTAGGGGTGCATTGTCTGACCCTAATTAACCTCTGATGTTTTTGTGGGCCAATTGGGATGTGGGCAATTAGGGATGTGGGCGAATAGAGACTAAGCCAGACCCAGAACCTAGACGAAGAAGCTGCTGCTACTGTTGCTTCCTTCTACAGTATCAAGTCTGGACTCTACCGTCAGCGTGCCAAGGTTCTTCCACCAGTCCCACGTACCCGTGCTGATGTAGACCTCACAGGTACCTTTTTAAGTATTAACTTATCTACTGATATTTGCATAATGCTCAATTGATTTCTTGACAGTGTACTTCATTCATTCATTCATTCATCAAAACAACGTCTAACACACTTGCTTGTTTTAAGGTTCCTGGACTGAGACAACAGACGGACAACAGTTCCTGGTTGTAGACAGCGAAGATGAAGACAGGATCCTGATCTTCAGTACCGCAGAGATGCTGGACATCCTCGCCAATGCAGAAACCATCTACATGGACGGAACATTTTTTGTGTGTCCCAGCCTGTGGCAACAAGTCTACATTGTGCACTGCCTTGTGGATGGACAGATGTTCCCAGTCGCCTTCTCCCTGCTGCCAAGCAAGTCTCGTGATACATACATTAGATTGTTTAACTACTTGAAGGACTCTGTGCTTGCTATTGTCGGCGTTGAACTTTCTCCCTCCGTTGTACAGACTGACTACGAAGCTGCTGCTATTGGAGCCACTCGAGAGAGTCTTCCCCGATGCAGAAGTCCGTGGATGCTACTTCCACTTCACCCAGGCGGTTTGGCGGCAGGTTTCAGAGAAAGGCCTTGTGAAAACCTACAAGGACAACCGTGCCTTCAACACCCACGTGCGACGTGCTGCAGCACTCCCCCTCCTCCCAGTGGATCAGATCCAAGATGCCTGGATGGAAGTATTGAACCAGTCTCCCGACGTTGACGGAATCGGCCAGTTCAACGACTACATCACATCTACATGGGTTGACTACGACGCAAGATTCCCACCTCGCATTTGGAATCAACATGGAAACACTGGGCCAAGAACAAACAATCACTTGGAGGGATTCCACCTTTGATTTAAGAAGCTGGTTCAGAAGCACCACCCGAACATTTACGAGTTTGTGATCACAATGAAGAAGCTCGAGACAACAAACAGAGTGGCCAGAAGACAGATTGAGCATGGAGCAGCTGTCCGCCCAAGATCCAGACTCTACAAGAACCTGGACAGCCGCCTGCACAGACTGCAGCAGCAACTGGAAACTGGCAGAAGATCACCGCTACAGTTTCTGGACGCGGCTGGACACCTGATCAAGTTGAACTGAACATTATGAAACTTTGTTACAGAAATAAAAACAAAATGTAAATTACTTTTGTCTTCATTTGCCCACATCTCAATTCGCCCACATCTTCAAAATAGGAGAGTCCATTCTTCAGTCATAGGTATGACACAAGTTGATCATTATGTAATCCCTAACCAATATGTTGTTTTAAAACTGTGGGCGAGATGGGATGTGGGCGAATAGAGAACATGCCTCCACAAGGGGGGAAGCTCTCGCCATGACGAGGTTGCTCTTCACGAGTGCCGGACACGGGGTAGACTAAGTCCTCAGCACCCCATTGTTGGTAATCACAGGCGTCAAAGTGGACAAACAATTTGCCCTGTGCTACTATATTATGTTGCACAATATTTATTATGTAAATCATTACATGATTATTGTATGTCATGACCAAATGTCTTCCAACTTCCAAATTTCAAATGCGTTTCAGTTTTGTTCTGAGCCTAAAGTCTTTATGATACTCCATAGTTGGTGAGGAGCTGTAATAATAAAACTTAAACGCGAAACACGAGAGTTCTGGCCACGTTTCATAGTGAGTGAGTGATCTCTGTAGATGAGGAACATCTGTGACTCGGTGCAATGGCCGCCAAGAAGTGACTGCTCAGCACTGAACCTACCGGGTGAAGATTCTGTTGTAAATAAACATTAATCCGAACCCGAGCGGGGGACATGTGGGCAATTTCCGGGTGTTCTTTTGAACCACGGGATGATTTCATTGGAAACCTCCGGCTAACGCCGGAGAACGCCGGAGGTTTCCAATGAAATATTCCCGTGGTTCAAATACTCAATAACACCCGGAATAGGCCAACAAATGATGTTTATCGACATTGTAAACACAAAAGTAAACCAAAAGGCCCACATGACTTTACTGTCTGCACTCATTGACATCGAGTACGGGTACAGCATTGAAGTGTCATCAGCTGGCTGTTTCAGCTGGTTCCCATGGTAGCATCTGAAACTGTTCATTTGTGACGTCATTCCGATTTTACGTCACAATATGATTTGACTGACGTCACCACTGCTGACGACGCAACAATAGGCCACTCTTAATATTTATGCATGTGACCTTTGACCAATATCAAAACGAGGTCATACCCGCGTAATCAGCGAATCGTGATGGCGACGAAATCCGGGAGCGATTTGACGGCTGTCCCGTCTCTCACATTTTCCTTCGTGGAGACTTATATACAGATGAATAGCAGAAGTGCCGGGACTTCCCAACTGAACAAAGGCTTCAAATATTATAGTGAAGGGTTCATTTATAATTTGCGAAGTAAGTTTCATTCATCAATTTCCAATGTTGTAAATGGTACAGTAGCGATCGCAATATGGCTGTCAATGTCATTATGTCATTGCTGATTTATGATTGAAGAAGGCTTATTTTCCTCTTGACATGTTATCATATTGACTTCACCCTGAAAATTACGGGACATACGTTAATTATTATGAAGTGCAACTGAAAAGCTGTTTTGAACTACTTTAACCTAAGTTCCATCATGTCAATAACCTAGGCCGTAACCGTCAGATAGTTATTAGATCTATGTAAAATTCAAATGATGTTATTTCGTGTAACATTATTCCCTTGTCTTGTATTTTTTTCACCTGTAATCGGTTTTTGGCAGCATCATGTGATGACACATCTTGCGTAATAACAGCTCGTTGTTACCGTTCCATGAAGAAAAATGACTCGCCACACAATATAACTGTAAGTTGGGTTCATAGTATTGTCAAGAAAAAAAAAATATTATCAGTCTGATATCAGAATATATATATTATATATTATATATATATATATATATATATATATATATATATATAAAATATAGGAACACATATTTTGTAAAATATCTCATTTATGTTAAATTGTGATAGCCTAGTACATTCATTTCACTCAAGTACATGTACTATGAAATGCAGGTCACCTTAGAGAGCAGTCCAGTGGTTAAAGTGGTCAGCGCCAGCTGCAGCTGTGCCATAGGTCAGAGCCAGTGTTGTGGTCATGTGACAGGTATGTCATTAGCCTATTTCAATGAATAATAAGTAATTTCTGTATATATTAAACTGAGTATCTGATTTCATTGTTCCTGAAAATATGTTTTTCTTACACAGGTGTTTTATATCTGGTGGCCCACTATAAGCAGAGAGGAATGAAGTCCATCCCACAGGATATTGCCAAGACCTCCATGCCACAGACATGGCACATCCCTCGCCAGGACAAAATATCCGGTATGTCAGTACCAGAGATAAAGGTTTCTGGATACAAGAGTGATGGAGAGGACAGGCCAGTGAAATCAACCCTTTACAACCCCATTAGGTCTACCCTTCCACCATTGGAACCATTTTTTCATCCCTGAAGTTAAATCATCCTGATCTATCACTATTAACAACAGTTCCACAGACTGATGAGCCAGCACCACCTTTTGTAAGAACTAATTTTGGATTGTTTCCTAAGGGTAGCACCATCAGCCATCAACAGAAATTATCTGGAAATTATCTGATAAACATTGTGGATGGATTTTTTCCTGATTTGCCCATTAGTGCTGAGCAGACAGGAGAGAACAACTACAGCAGTGTGCTGACAGAGAGTCAGACAACTCTGCTAGACTCACTCAGTGTCAGTCAGGATGAGGCTGTGGAGATAGAGAAGGCTACCAGACTCCAGGCGCAGGACAAGAAGTGGGTTCGTCTGAGACGTCACAGGGTCACAGCTTCGAAAATTGGAGAAATTTCAAAGCGTAAAAAAGGTAAACAGAAAATAAACCTAATTAACATTAAGTTTTATGTCATTAATTTCATTAAAAGAAAATGTTGCACCCAAATCCATTACATTACAAAAAAATAATAATAAAATTTCAGAACCAGAGAAGTTTGCAGAAAGACTGAGATCTTCTTCTAGGACCGTCCTCACAGAGGCAATGAGAGAGGGCATTGCCAATGAGCCTTTTGCAGTAGAGGCATATGGGAAGGTAAACATTTCAGATTGATTAAATCATATGTGTAAATGGATCAACTGAATAAATGTACATGTGTATATGTAATTAACATTGAATGTTAATATTTGGGATTAAGGAGAGTAATCTCAACATACATAATAAATATAAAGAAGTGTACACATGTGCCTATATTTAAAATTGTATGTTGATATTTCAGCTAAAGGAGGGCAATGTGAATATATATCCCTGTGGGATTGTAATAAGTCCCAGAGCAGCATGGATGGCTGCTTCTCCAGACCGGAAGGTGCTAGACCCCAGCTCCAACCCTCCTTTGGTCTACTGGAGGTGAAGTGTCCAGACCTGCGGAATAAGGACCTCTGTGATCTGCAGTACCTCAGCCTGAAGGACAATGGCCAGCTTGCTCTTAAGGCAACATGTAACTACTATCATCAGATCCAGATGCAACTGGCAATGACTGGTTTGAAATGGTGTGATTTCTTTGTCTGGTCTGAAAGGCAACACCATCTCGAGAGAATTGACTTTTGTCCTGAGAGCTGGCAAAGGGTGAAAGACAAGGCAGATAAATTCTTCTTTGATTACCTTCTTTCATAGTTTCTGTACTACTATGTTAGAAGTCATTTCTCTGATTATTTCAATTACCAAAAAAATCAGCAATATTCTTAACATCAAGCTAGATGAAATCATATCAAGTTTAATGCATTCAGAAAAATACAAGAAAATCAACTTCTTTCATTGTTTAATTGATAAACATATAATGTGAGGTATATATTTCATATATACATCAAACATGTTCTCTGTTCATAACACTTTGTGTATTGTTATTAATCATTCAGAAACAAAACCATGCAATATTGATCTAGTTCACTGCTTATTAGAAATTCTGGCATTGTTTAAAGAGAGATACTCACAATTTCAGCATATCCTAATTCTGAGCATTTTTACTTACTACCTGTGTATATTTCAAAACATTGATATCTATAAAAATGTAAAAAATCTGTGTATTAACAAAATATACAGTCGATGAAATATTACAGATTTAGCTGTAATCACATTTATTAATTTATATTCACAAGTTTTTTTGAGCATTTGTCATAAAACTTTTGTTACAGTAGCATTTATTCAACAGAATCAATAATGACATCTTTTGACAATCTAACAATTTAAATGTAACTTTGTTACCACAACATAATCTTATCTGTAATACAGACAGACAGACAGTATTCATTCAGTAAAGAGGCCCTCGCCCATAATACAATCAGACTGACATTGTTTTTAGTGGGTTCGCAATACAACTTTGCAGCTCTATGTCCTGGAGTTCAGTTTCTGTACATGGTATAAGTATAGGCCAAGACTGTATATGACAGCATCATTTTTGCTTTGCAAAAGATTTACGACAGAGTAATGAGTAAGTGGTTCTTTAGTGAACTTTGTTATATATTTCTTTCTAGGTATATCATAGGTATTACAAATATATAGTACATGATATTCATTTTCTATATAATGCTGACCTCTGGTTTTACAAAAAGGACATAGCCCTTCGTTATATTCAATTTCATTATACCTGCCACATTCAACAGCCGTATTAAATTACTGCATCTAAACCTTGATATAGCAATTCTTATATGCACAGGGATATCACAACACAAATATTTTTTAATATTTAACAAAGTTTTGAACTCCTTGTAAAATATACATTAAGAAGATTCACTAATTGATGAGAACCAAGACTGTTTTAAGTTATCACCTAGCCTTAGCTTGAATAGATACACAGAATATTCCACATTTCCAATTTCTTGGCTTAGCCAAGCATAACCAAATCCATATTGAAACAGGATGTGTCTAACTCCGGTTACCCAGGTATTATAGCCTAAGCTATCTGGTGATCTGAACATGTAATACAAATTTGTATTTTGAAGTTTTCAGAAATTTATTTAATTTGAGTTTTTACTATGATCATAGTTTCATAATAGGTCCTGAATCTATTATAAATTCTGATGAAAACTAACTAACACTGTAAATAAATACTCTGTTATACCATTAGTGTCAATATGATGTATATATTATGTTCTCATAAAAATGCAATACAAATGTCATGCTAATCAACATTAAACCTCAATCAGTTTTCTTTTTCTTTTTTATCAAAGGTCCTTGAAAACTTGATGTAATGCATGCTACAGTCCACAACTGATTAATGCTGCCCAGTTCAGCAAGAGAGACTGTAGAATCAAACAGGTGATTCTCTTTAACCCTCCTGATCAGTCTTTCTACATGAATCCTAAGGGATGCAATGGACTGTGTCTCCCATACTTCACTAGGCGTGAACTGTCCAGAGGAATACAGAAATGGAGGAATGTTCAGACCAACACCTTTCTCACTCAGTATACTGGCAATAGTAAAACCCTTATCAGTCATAACACTGTCCCCAGGTTCCAGCAAATCTAGAATGCCAGACAGTTTAGTTATTTCAACATCTGACATAACACCTGTGTACAGATTGGATACAAAGGTAATAGCACCATTTGGGGCAATGCCAATCAGACCTTTCAGAGTGCAAGAGCTCTTGTAATGGGAGTAAAACATGGAATTTAACACCAAAGCTGAGGGAATTTGGATCCTGAGCTCAGTACAATCTAAAATGACTCTTGTAGATGGGTAAGTTATCTGAAATTCAGGAGGCATGTGTCTGTCTACTGTCACTCTGGAAGGCCAGATAGGAACTGATCCAAGAACAAAATAGAGAAAATTTGCCCAGGTGATAATTTTTCGACTAACAGTCGAAATATGGCAGTTAAAACGAACAGCAAGATCCTGTTCTGGTAAACCAAGCCTAAGGCGTACAAAAAACATGAACATTTCATCAATAAGGGCCATATTTCTTGGTCTACCTGCAAGAGAAATGGCATTTGAGCATGTATAATACATACTGCACATATTGGAGGCACTTGGTTTTACAAAGTCAAAAAACTGTTTGAACAATTTATAGCTACGAAAAGATGTATAGTACTGGATCATATCATCATTTCCAGCAAATCTTTCCAGTCCAAATCTCTCAAGGGTGAGCTGTTCTTTTAACAAATCTTTCTTCTCCTCAAGCTCTTGAATTCTTTTTAGAAGCACCTGTGAATCAAACAGACTGATATCTGTCTGGGTCTGAGCTGACAACTGGTGCTCACCTTCAGCATGAGGGTCACAATCTGACATGGAGTTTGCATTTTCAGAACTGAAAAAATAAAGAATTTACTTTCAGTGGAAATCAAAATGTTTGTATACTTCAACATTTATTCATTTCTAAATATTATGATGAGGTATGAGGGTCATCAGTGATTATGAATCCTTCATCTGAAATTTAATTAGATGGAAATACTTTAAATTAATGGATACCACAAAAAAGAAAGACATCTTTAGTTAAATAGCATTTGAACTGAAGTAGTGCTTACACATCTACCAATTTGTTTTTAACTCTTAAACTGACCTTTCCCATGAAATAACTTGTTTTGGCATCAGTGGATGACGGATGGCTGGTGCTTTTCTGGACTTCATATTTTCCAAGTTCCAAGGAAATATGGATGGCACAGATCCTTGCTTGAGGGTCTTCCTTACCGGTGTGTACTTGTAGTCCTCAGGCCGGAAATGCTTCGAGCAAACAACACTCTTCCCGGTGATCTAAATACAAGTGAAATTAAAATAAGTCTACTGTCATTATAGATTTTGAGCTCCAAGATTTAAAAAATATCTCTTTTTTTTTAATAGTTACAATAAATAGTTGTGTATATAAGTGATTCTATAATAATTCTTCCTGGGTCCATCTGCCATTGTTTCAAATAGGACCACGAAAGGCTAATGTATGCAATCGTCCTGGTAATTTAGTAACACGAAAGGATAGTTGAAAACAAATTTGACATGCAAAATGCTATCATGTAGTTGTTTGAGACAAAATATCTTTTTGTCTTATAATCTGTTTGACAACTGCAGCTCCGATAATATATTCGTTGCTGTTTGGACGACTCAAATTCTCGAGATTTAATTTCGAAAATCCTGAATGAAAATTTTAACCTACCGTAAAGAAGGGTCCTTCGTCCCGACGAATGGCAATTATCCATCTCCTTCGCACATCTTCAGCCTTCGGAAATGTGTGAAACGAAAGTGAATTGTTGTATCTCGCATCAGATGTACACTGAGGTACAGAGCAGTGATCAGCTGCCATGTTTGCGGGTATAACCTCGTTTTGGAATCGGTCAAAGGTCACATGCATAAATATTAAGAATCCGCTATACAATAGTGTGTGCGATATTTGTACGTGTCAATCCTTATAATTAAATTCAACAACAAATACTATAGGCTTTCAACAATATTTTATTTAAACACAATCAAATTCATCGAAACAGGTATCTTTGTTACCACCGATTTACGGATTAACATTTTCGGTGTAAGAATTCGGTAATGGCGTGACATGACTCAGGTGACTCATTTACATAAAATGACACGCCTACCAAACCATTAGCCAATCAGCACAGAGCACCCCAAAACAGCTGTCAATCAACCAAGCTAACATCGGGGTTGCGAATCAGAGCGGATCAACACAACGTGACGCGTTCCGGTAACGGCAAAGTTTCAAGTTCAAACATTTGAATTATTACCAGCGAACTGAAAGACACAGTTTGAAAAGTGAGAATTGGAAATGAAGCCCGATGACATGAAGTTAGTGGAACTGAGATTGTTAGTGGCAGCAGTATTTGCGCAAGTGGAAAGGGGCTGTGATGTGACTGGGATTGCGATGCCATGAACTGATGTTCCAACGTGCGCATGCTCTTGTCGAGGCGTTACAATGGCGGAAAGCGTCTCGCTAATTCTTAGTTTTTGAGTAGTCGTTGTGTGGCGACTATAACTACGGACGGAACTTTCATTCCTATGGCCACTCATAAACATTATGTGACGAAGTTCAAAGCCAGCGTCACTCATGGCTTGGATTGCTGTGGCGCGAAGGCAATGAGCAGTGTATGACTGACTACATTGGGCATTGCGACATATGTCAGACATGAAACGAGTGAACTGGTATTTTTTTGACTGGGGTTGCTGTATACCAAATGTTGTGTGCGTCTGGAGAACTAAGTGCATCTTTATTACAGTGCGAAAAGAGTGATCCGGCATTTGGGTGACTTTTGTCAAGGAGCTGGCGAAGTGCATTGACGGGACATTGGTTAATATCATTCGTCGCGTACATTCGTTTGTCGCTTTGCGCTTCATCGCTGCTGAGACCACCCTGGATGTTTTTTTTTGTTTCGTTTCGTGGGACAGTGGGACATATTCAACATTGCTATCATCTACCGC